AAATCAAATAAAGATTACGTGATAAAATGAATAATCTATATTGCATTTTTTATGATCATTTAATAAAAGGTTTAAATATATGATCATAATCACTTTGAAGCACTTTCTTGTGTAATATACATTTTAATCTTTCCGTATAATGCTTAGAACTATTAACTAAATATAATTTAAAATATGTTCAATAGAGAATTTATTTATTAATTTTTTGTTAATAATACATATTAAATTATATAGCATGTATTGTTCCCGTAATCTGAACTTCGCGATGATTTAAATACAGAACTTATCTTTATTGTGATATCTATAATCCTGAAAAGAAAAATAATACATCAATAATCTACAAATAAAACTGCTTGCATATTTATTTAATAGTATTTTCATACTTACTATTTATTTTACTTACTATTTTATTTTAGTTGCGCATGCCGTCACCTTTGGTATTCATATGAAATTCTACATTGCACCTTAATTTGGTGTCACCTTGGTGACAAAATTAATGATTTTTACTATAATCATATTGTGAAGCGTCATGCTCAGTCACATAGTCCGTAAATATAGTTTGCATTGGCATAATGCCATGTTCCCACTACAACTAAAGTAACATATATTAATCAATTTAAGATGTAGTTATTTCCATTGGTATAAGTTCATTTATGTATATAAATGTGCTTTTATGTGTCAGAAAGTTCTGTAAAAGTTTTAGAAGAGTTTTTGTTCTTACATTTTAGTTGATTCTAATTGAAATGAATAATTTTTGTTAAATTATAGAACATACTGTATAACAATATCAAGTATATAATTTATATATAAATTTATTAATACATTTCTATATATCATATATAACTACATATTAAAATCTATAAACTTTTTTATAAAAAATAAAGATATAAAAAAAATTCTTACGTTTTACTTGCTTGTTTTTTGTTTATTTGCATTTAGTTTCATGTGTCAAATATATCGAATATCGAACATTGTGAAAAATATTTTTGGTGTAATTTCGCTCAATTTATTCTTAACCAAGTTGAAAAGCACAAAAGCTCTTTATACGGTTAAGCCACTTCATTAGTGACCTAAATCAAATAAATTGCTTTAATGAAGGCAATGGGTATATACTATAATACCAACTCTCAATAATTCATACAAACTTATTTATGTTCTTTACTCCATCAAAATTACTCCTTCAAATTTTATAATAAAGATTTTATTTAACGTCTAGATATACAACATGTAATATATATAAAATATTATATAAAACTTGGAATTTATTACATTATTAGTAAAAATAGAAAACTTTTTATAATCTGGTAATTGAAACTTGAGTATTCGAATTGACACTAGTGAACTGTATATATAATATTCATATTTATTTATTCTATATATATGCATAATATTTGTATAAAACGTTATTAACAGTAGTGGTTCAATTTATCGATAAGTTTGGGATATTTAATACTCATACCTGTCTACAAAACATGTAACAACCCTGTTACTTTGCTTGCAAATTGGAACAGCTGATTTTTGTTTACAAAATTTTTACTGTTTACCGCGCAAAAATCAAATGAATTTTTACATTGAGATTTAAACTAATAATGATAAAAGTATATATTTAATTATAATACAGTTTTAAATAAATAATATTAAATTATTTAAATGCGAATATGCCAAATAGCGAAGATTTACTTGAACAGTTGCTACTGCGCTATGAAGGCATTACATCTAGTCATACAAGGAAGAGTGAACTTTGTTTAAGTGGTATTGTTCAAATTAAGGTTTGTTGTAAATGAATTTATTACAGAAATATTATAATAAATTAATAATTAAATTTTTATTATCGAAAGGAAACATGGTTTACTATTAAATTGATCTGTCCGAAATTTCCAAAACTTGAGGAAATGCATTTATCAGTGCAGCAATCAATTAAAGTGGAAACTTTCACTGAAACCTACACAGAAATAGAAGCAAATTGGAACGTTTTTGACTTAATAGAAAATTTGCCTAAATTAATGAATAAAAATGGCATACAAAAACAAAAATTAATAACAGATGCACAGCAGCTGGAATTGCAGCAAAATATATATACAGAAATTGCAATTTTATCCAAATCTGACGATTTTGAAATTGAATTAAATGAGGCATTCACACTGATACGTTTTTCAAAATTTAATCAACAAGAACAACACTTTTTAGAGTTGTCCTTACCTAGCTTGCAGATAACCAAGCATAGCTTGCCCGATTGTATAAATTGGGAAACATTATTTCAAAATTTTTTCACACTTAATAGTTTATTGGAACAATTTCGAAAATATTTGGAAGAATTGCATGAGTTTTATGATAATTTCGTGGATATCGATGAGTTGTGCCACGTACTTCAACCACGTTCACCATCTACTAAGGATAATTGGCGATTATTTCTAATACGTGAACACGTTTTTCTTAAATTAGTAATAACAGATCCTTTTGCACCCATATCGTCTATGTCTTTGAAAATACTTGGACCCACAGAAGATGTTGAACAATTGCGACGTACTTACAGTGAGGGCCTCTGTAATTGGGATGCTGAATTGGATATACATAAAAATTTATTGCGTATATTTGATTTATGTTTTTTTCCGATGCGACCGGGAATTGATGGTGAATTAATAGATGGTGCTGTGGAAGAACAGCAATTCTGTAATATATGTTACTGTTATCATTTGGATGATGGTGACATACCACTGATCTCCTGCGACAATCGGCAATGCACTATGATATATCATGCAGTTTGTCTACGTGAGTGGTTTAATACACTATCAGATGGGAAAACGTTTCTAAAAGTTTCTTTTGGCAATTGTCCATTTTGTAAAGCGGTGAGAACGAAAATATTTTATATATTAAATGTAAATATAAAAAAATTTTCATTTTGCAGACCTTATCAACATCTTTCGTGGAGTTAATAAAAAATTAATATTTTATTTTTTTATGTTTTCTTTTATTCTCATAAAGTAATTAATAATTTATACATATATATATGTACATATATATATATGTAACTATAATATCAGAGTATACCACAATAAAGTGAAAATTTGCTTTCTTTAAGTTAAACACAGTTTAAGGAATAAAAAAATTTCATATATAATTTTAAAAAATGAATTATTTTTCCGAATGAATATGAATTTGATTTAATGACTTAGAATTTAAAAATTTAATCAACGTATGTAAAATTGTAAAAAAATGAACTAAATGACTACAAGCTAGAATGAAAGCTGTGAAACGTTTTTATATTCATTATTTCTTTAAATATCTTCCTCAGGGAATCGCGGTCGTCGATGTAAGCAAATTCTTATGGAGCAAGAACAGCAACTTGCTATACATCGATTATAAAAACGTTTCACTGATCTCCATATTCATGGGAGCTCATTCCGAGACAAACGTATAATAGCACGGTACAACTCATGTGGATCACGTCGTCCATCTCGTGAATCACCTACACGTACACTTGAACTTGAGATACCATAAAATATATTTGGCACCAAACTTGGTTCCAAAGCTTTGAATTGCCAACCAATATGTCGTCCGCAGCCATTACAAACAATAATATGCCATTGATACCTAAAATTATAATTAATTATGAATAAAACGTTTTGTTCCACTTAATACAATATAATTTGTGATCATACCCAGGAAACCAACTAAATTCTGATGAAGCTTCTCCACTAAATACTACTGAATTGGGCACCACACGATAAACCGTATTTGTCTGATGTATGTGACCAGCTGTGAAAATAATTTAAAAAAAGAAACGATTTTTATGTAATAAACTAACTATATATATATAATTTTTTAAATCAACATATCAAGCATATTTGTTTTAAAATGGTTCCACAATTAGTACAAATAGTGCTCCACAATTAGAATGATTTGTTTCTCATAAATTAACTTGTTTTGTGAGATTGTTGCCTAGGACTACAAGTGTGTTCACTGTTTTGAAATTTCTGAAGATCGAATTATATTCGATCATTTCCTTTACTATATTAATAGCAAATATCCTATTCTATCCAATCTTAAAATAATTAACTATGGAATAACATCGGTAACCTATCAAACTCTACCTGAATTGCAATATTGTGTTTGAACGCCATGCTTTGACATAGCAAAAAGTTCTTTACAGTCAGCAATTTGATTACTACAGAAGCGGCATATATAGAACGACGGCTCCTATAAAAACAAAAGTTTGTAAATCCATAAAAATTAAATACATTTTTTTGAGTATTTTACCTCCTTAAATGTGGTAGCAATCAATTTCATGCGTACATTAACTGAATCAGTTTTGAATATTTCTTTTTTAACGTATTCCGGTAAATGTAAATTTCGTACTAGCCAATACGATAAATCAACCGGATCAGTCGGCATAGTATTTATTTTATGCTCAGCTAATTGTGTGCGTGCTTTCTCTATAACGCCAGACATATTGTACGCTTCATAGATGTAAGCTGGTAAAGAAGTGCTTGCGGCTTGTAGACGTCGGAAGCTTTGCTGCATTTTGGGTAAATCGCGGAAACGATTTAACGAACCCATCTGTATACAATTAAGCGGTTCGGGCAAATAAATTTCTGGTAGAATCTTAACATTACAATAGCATTTATATTGCGGAAAAGCCGTTATATCCTGTAATGCACTGGAAAAAAAAATAACAATATTATTCCATATAATAGATTGTAAATGTATTTTAATTTTTTTCATATTTACCCTTTTATGTTATTGGTATTAAGTATAAAACGTTGTAAGGCCCGAGACTTAAAAAGCATGCGACCTCTTTCGTCAGCTCCGCGCTCATATATTTGACAAGTAACACCATACATAATCTCTTTTTTACCATTATCACGCAGAAAAGGGAAACATATACCAAAGAATGCTTGATTATCCCGACATAGTTCGGTCTCAATAACAATATTTGAAGTCATAAAGGGCAAAACTTCACCAGGAAATAATATATAAGCATGTAAGAATAATAATAAATTCTGTTCCTGTCCAGGTTCAATATAATTAACACCAGAAACCCGATCCATATTTGTGCCCATATACAAGTGTTCAGCAGCAAGATTAGTATCAAATCTAACAGGATTTTCTGGTTCGACTTCATCCTCAGGTGAGTTTTCAGCAAAATTCTGTGTTCTATGTCGAAAACGTAGAATATCTCTTGAGCCCGCTCGCATACTAATTCTTCTCATTGAATCTAAACTATAAACAACATTGCGTAAACGCTGAACCACATTACTGTGATTGAGTGATATAACTGGTTCTTCGTTATCACTCACCTCGCCAAACATAAAATTTCGTACCGCACGTAAATCTTGAGTTCGCTGATTCGAATCTGAGTCAACGCCTATGTTTAAAAATAAAAGATGTAATAACAAAATATAAAAATATACGATTTAAGCTAACCATCAGGAGTTGATGTGTCGGGTTCCGACATATCAAAACTTGCGTTCAAGTCATCTGGGTCTTGAATATCCTCTTCTCTTATGTCAATTTGCATTTCATTGCCTGGTGAAGGTGGACTAATTGGTGGATCATCAATATAGTCTGGCACCATAAGTTGTTCCAAAGATGAAAACGACAAATTTGGTGCATTTTGTATTTCTGGAGGACGTACAACTGGATTTGCATTTCTTTCTACATCACCCTCAGAATCTATAATATATAGCAAAATTGCAATCAACCAATACGTCATTTGTATTTTTATTATTGCAAAATATATTTTTTCGCTAGTTACCGTGTTGTTCTTCGTCGTCTGGAAAGTTTTCTTCATCCATTTTTAAATTTTAAATATACTTTACACATTAAAACTCCTACTACACAGCAACAATTTGTAATTTTTCGTTTAATAACAAAATATTACAGTTTTTGAAGGTATAGAATAGATAAAACTTTTGACTGATATAGTTTTCTTGCACAAATAAAGTGATGCCAACGTTCCAAAATTATGACACTTGAAATTTTTTAGAGGTTTTGTTATTTCTTAATTTTATTAATAATATTTTTATTACAAAAATTAATTTGAAAAAATTAATTTCTCATATTATGAAGATATCAGAAAACAATGCTTTATATAGGTAATATTTTCACTGAAAAAGGTTCAGTTGTTCCTGCCCCTACGATATCTCTTAAATTTCTGCAAGAAAAATCTTGCTAAAATCAAATAATATACATAAATATGTAATATATAGTAATATACTAATATACTGCAACCTTCAAGCTTATAATCAATTTCGTACACTTATCGTGTGAATTAAACTCTCTTAACATTACGGTGACATAAAACTATTTTGTCCTAGTTTTAAGTGACCAAAAACACAGATTTAAATTTAGTAGAGGTACCCACTATCGAAACTTATTTTCACATTTGTTTCGATTAGCATATAAAGTTTAAGCACATTAGTCATATAACAAAAAAATATGTGAAATTCATGTAAAGAAGTGCACAATGAAATGCCTTCTTTGGCTTAGTAAATCCCATCCGAAGATTTCTAGTACGGTAAATGTGGGTGCAAGTTTCAAAAAAATAAAGAGAAAATAAAGCTGAGAATCAAAATAAATTTAAAATAAAAACAAATTTTCAGTAGTGAATAAATTTGTAATTACTCATTGCAAATCAATTTTAATTAATATTTTTAAATTTATAGCGATTTCAATTGGAAAATCTAGATTTAATGTAGATTTACTCTCGATCTGTCAAATTTTGTTGCTTAATCCAACATTTTAGAGTAATCTAATATACTTGGTAGTGTTAGTAGACATATAAATTTATAAATATATGTATTAAATCAAATCGCACTTTATTTATATATAAAAAGAACTTATTTTAAATAAATTTTTAATTTATTTAAAACAGCTGTTAATATTTCTATAGTGTTATATATTATTTTAAGTGTTATACGTTTTACTTGAGATTTGTTAATCGAAAATGCACATTGCACTGAAACAGAATATTGATTGAAAAAGTTATTCCAGATTAATCAATCAAATACGATATTAGTTAGTAGTACATACGAGAAATTGGACTATGTTATCATTTTTTACTAATTTATATATATATTTAATAACTTTTAAAAATATGCTCTTTATTAAAGACTACATTCGAATAATGGTATTATTTATTATCCACGTTTTAAGTATTATCTCGAGGTCATTATGTTTTTTTTTAACCATAAAACTAAACAATAACACTTATAGTTCAATTTAGTGTAATCCATTTAATTTGTGTAATTTTTTGTGGTTTATCTTGTTTTTTGAAATTTTTGTGCTGGTAATACTGACTTTTTGCTCTTTTAGATTATGGGAGAGTAATTTTTCGGCTGTCAAAAATGTCAAAACGTATTGTTTTGATAAAAACCAAAATAGTTCAATACAATAATTAAAGATAATGTAAATATTATTAAAATTAAATAAGTATAGAAATATTTCTCAATATATGTGTGGAGATGAAATAATTCAGTTACAATAAGTTTTATAAATAAGTAGAATAAACAAAATGACGAAGTTTACTTGGCGGTGGAGAAATTCCACAAAAAATTTAATGTATGCATTTTTTATTAATAATATTAATAAATATTTTATTTAAGCAAAAATTTTTTATTTTAGAGTTCGTTTGCAATTACGTTACGCTTATATGAAACTTTGTTTTCATTCCTTAACATATAATATACACACAAATCCTTCTTATGCCACCGATGTGTGCATGGAACCGATCTTTTGGATTGTCGATAATTATACACATCTATTAGGCCCAGTAAGTATGCAAAACTCTACCATGATATAATATATTTCATACCGTTCTCTCTCTTGAGTAGTTTTTTGTTATAGGTGTAGCTATATTAACTACAGCTGTAGTAACAATTGCTTATTGGATTGGCTTACCATATTGGTGGGCTAAAAGTACAATAGGCACTATAATACTTTTAGTAATAGGAAATTGGCTTTTAATAAATGTTATTTTTCATTATGTAATGGCTAGTATTACTCCAGCCGGGAAACCACCTGAGGTAATATTATTTTTTATGTTTACATAAAAAAACTTTATATAAAATGTCTTTTGTTTAGGGTGTTCAACTCATTGAAGCTGTTAGTATTTGTAAGAAATGCATACTTCCAAAACCTCCACGTACTCATCATTGCTCAGTTTGTAATAAATGTGTTTTAAAAATGGATCATCATTGTCGTAAGTGTATAAATTAAAGAATTATACAAATTATGTTAGAGTAATCAACATATAAGGAAGCTTTTGTTATGTTGTGCAGCAATAGCCTTCACACAGCTGCTCTACAAATTTATTAATCTCGTTGTATTGTTAAGAAATTTTAAAATGGAAAATAACTTAGTGTGCGCATTGAAAGTAATTTAAAGTTATATCGAATTGAGACTTATTATCTGTAAGCAGGAATAGTAATTTAAAGCTAACCCGAACTGAGATATATTATCTTCTCAGCTTGATTGGGCGAAGTTATAAATCAATTTGGTATATGCTTCTAACTAGGGCTTCAAACCGGAACCAAAAAAACCTTTTTCGGAACCGAACCGATATATGTTTTTTGTTTTAAACCGGAACGAAAAAAATTCAAAACTTCGAACCGAAACCGAACCGAAAAAAACCAATATTTTTATTAGATCGAAAACCGGAACTAAACCGATATATTTTTTTAGTTTTGAACCAAAACGGAAAAAATTTCGGTTCGAAACCCTGCTTTTAACCAATTAAACAGACTAGTGATATTGATTTAGTCCCTTAGCAAGATCACAATAGCAACATGTTCAGTATAGTCCTCCCTTCTATATGCAACCGTTAATCCCTTTCTTCGAATTATTTATATATCGAAACCCATTGTAATGGGGCCATCATCATTGAAGTTTAATAAAATATTGAGCTAATAGCTCTCTACACAGATGCACTTTCGTCTTCAAGTCCGCGGTTGCATAGTAACAAAGTTGTGAACCGTACTTTAACAGTGATAGCAGTTTATTTTTATAAAATGCCGGTAAATCTTTCTATCAGCCTATGGCATATAGGATCGCTTATGGACATAGAACTCTGATGTGAGGGTAGTAATGGGGACTGGTATTGTATTTCCAACTATTTGAACTTCAATACACACTACTAGTAAAGTAATAACAGATAGCCATTCAATTTTTTAGTTTCTTGGACTAAGACATCATATGAATTTATTACACTTTGAACGAAGTCCAACATATACATATATATGTATTATAATATATTATACTTATTCGTTTAATTTTTAAATCTTTAAATTTTTTATCATTTTTACGATTAACGTTTAAATGATTACTGTGAAAAGTGTATTGTTTAATTTTAGTTTAAATAAATTGTGTTAATATTTAAATATTGTGTTTTAAAAAAGCAAAACATAAAAATCAACAAAGCTTAATTGTATTAATATTAGATATTTTTATTTTGTGTAAAATGCTATTTAAAAATTATTATTTAGCATTTATATTTTCACTGCAAATATAAATAATACTGAATTGACGTATTTTCACCTAAACATTAATTTCATCTATTAATTTTATTAATATTAGATATTTTTATTTTGTATAAAATGCTATTTAAAAATTTATTTAGCATTTATATTTACATAGCAAATATAAACAATACTGAATTGACGTACTTTCAACTAAATAAGTTGGATATACCAAACCTTTGGCTTTCTTAAATTAAGCAATAACTTCATTTAAGTAAATGTAATTAAGTTAATTAAATATAAATGTTAATTGATTTATGTGCAGCATGGCTTAATAACTGCGTCGGTTATAGTAATCATCGATACTTCTTCCTTTACATGGCCTATACTACGATTGGGTGTTTATTCCTAATCGTATCTGGTTTTGAAATAGGCTATAACTATTTATGGTTAGAACATGGTGATAATTGGATAGAAACAGAACCGCTAATAGGGCAACCTGTTAAATTTAATTTAAGTGGACATATTATTCCGGTGGTAAGTGATCATATAAATATTGTATATGAAAAATCTTAAGTAATAGTTCCTTTTTTTATATTTAACTTTTTTATAGACGCATGGTAATGAATATGATGATGAAATATTATTACCAGCTGAACATAATTTGCCAACACCAACATTTAATGAATTATCCGTAACACCAGAGAAACGTCGTGCTTTAATGTTTATGGCATTTGTTAATGTGGCTGTAGTTTTGGCTTTGGGTACACTCTGCATTTGGCATGCGAGGCTGATCACACGTGGCGAAACTAGCATAGAGGCAAATATTAATGATTCAGAACGTAAACGCTTATCAGGTCATAATAGATGTTATGTTAATCCATATGACTTCGGTCCGAAAAAGAATTGGAAAATGTTTCTTGGTTTAGTTAGAGGACGGTAAGTTTTAGAAATGCTTGTTAAAGAAATGATATCAAGATTTGTACTTTTTAGAACCTTTTGGCGTACTGTTATATTACCATCCTGGCATAAGCCAGAAGGCAATGGTTTAAGTTTCTATACCGTACACGATGAATGGCCATAACAATTAATATCAGTATAGTGTCAAAGCACTATACGAGCATAAAACCGCAAAGTGGCATTGTATTGTATTGAATTTAATTTAAAATATTTAGTAAAATTAGCTTATAACTTCATTCCTTAATTTATGAATTCATTATGACCATAAAGACTTTTTTTGTGATTAAAATTTTTAATAAAGTTGAATTTTATTTATAAACAAACATTAAATTTTTTTTGTTATGATATTTTTTTTTTACATGTAAATGTAAATTATTATTTATTATTAATGATTATTTTGTATATATGGAAATACATTTTTTTTGTTTCTAAAAAATAATCTAATTTTATAATTTTTTAAATTTAATACAACTGCTACTAATTAATCATATATAACATATCCAAACTCCATATAAAATCATATAAAATATCCAAACTCCAAATTACAACAATGAAATTTAAGTGTTGTTATTGTAGCCTGCCGGGATCTGAAGAGCAGGTAACAATTAAGGATTACAAGACAAATATATGGGTAGGGGGGTGGGGTTAGAATTAAGGGAATAGTAGGAAGGAGGAAAGGATATAATTGAAATCAACCAGGGTCCAGCCGTAGAAACCTAGCTACCTCAAGGAGATGAGTCCTTAAGTCCTTCATTGGACTTGAATTAGTGTGTGCAGTGGGACAAGAGAACAGATGGGCGACGTCATGGGGGTAGAGCTGCAGCTTGGGCATAAATTAGAAATGCACATGTTTATACGTGACAAGTAACTGTTTAGCAAATGGCTATATCCTAATCTCAATTGAGCTAGGAAAATTCTTGTTGCACGGGGGAGACGACGTTCTTCTAGAAGATATTAGGCGGAGTCCTGTTGAGAACCTTGTTGGGAGTCAGTCTAGGTCTCGACGAAGGGACTGCATCAGTGTGGAGTGATATGAGTTCACGTTTGTATTCGACCTCACTGATGTTAGCTTCATTGTAATATTGGTCGATCAATTTAAGTGTTAGGTTAGCGCAGTGTATTAACATACAAATTTAGGTTCTATATTTGAGAAGGTTCGAAGACTGGCACTTGCAGTTTAAAATTATATAGCGAAGGACAAATAAACATTTCTAAAGACTACTTATAATAGATATATAGTAACATTCATAATAGAAATAACCATAAATCAGTCAAAAAATTTGTCTTAGACTTAAAATCAATTTTTGTATTTAAAATTCATTTACTCCTTATATCTTTTATGAATGAGAAAAGCGGTCTCATTCGTATAAGGTCGCGTGTCATGGAACACACAATTTTTTTTTATTATTTAAATTATAATTTTATTTCAAAATATTCATAATTAATATAACAACAATGTATCTTTTATGCAGTTATGAAAATATTTGCATTCATCAAACAATTTTATGCTAAACAATTTGTTTTAATATAAAATTAAACATTTTTTTTGTTGCTGAAATGAACCATGCTACGAACATAGATATTCTTCAGAAGATTTTATTAAGCCTTGATCTGAAATACGTATGGTACTGTCCAGTTTTTCTAAATGTCAAAAGTAATAAATCTGTTATACACATAAACTTGCATAAAGTTTTTAATGAATCGCAATTATAGTGCAATGATGGCTGAGATAATGTCTAATAGTAAAAACGTGCTTGTGTGAAACTCCAAGAATTAGCCACGTATTAGTGATTAACAGATGTCCGATGAGATTGACTTTAAAAATGTTATGATATTTAAAGTTGCTGAAGATAGTTTGCAGCATAAGTAATTTTAGATTATTTGTGGTATTAATTTCCATAGGCTAACTTGTTACTTAATGCGAGAATCAATACCAGAAAATTTCATTTCATACAGATCTTTATATATTCTTCTATGCATGAATAATTTTTCAGTTATTTGGTTTTAAAAAACATTATTATTTGAGATATATACTAATATAAATATCATATATAATAATAAAAACATTATTTTTCTTATTTTAGTATTAGATACAATTAGATATATTAGTGAGTTAGTATTCTACTTTTATACTGTTAAACTATTGTCATCAAATGTGTAACGTGATCTATGTTAGATGATAAGTAAAAAAATATTTAAATACTCATATAAATATTAATAAAAGTTTTAAAGTAAAAATTAATGATAGTTAATAATGTAACTTAATTGTATGCAAAAACTTTATTATGTTGAGGCTAGTTGAGTCAGTGCACCTGAGCACTTTTACTCTCTATTAACTGCGAGGTTTCTTCAAAACCCCTCTTTGTGCCTTGACTAGATTATTGTGTAACCCGAACTGAGATATATTATCTTCTCAGCTTGATTGGGCGAAGTTATAAATCAATTTGGTATATGCTTCTAACTAGGGCTTCAAACCGGAACCAAAAAAACCTTTTTCGGAACCGAACCGATATATGTTTTTTGTTTTAAACCGGAACGAAAAAAATTCAAAACTTCGAACCGAAACCGAACCGAAAAAAACCAATATTTTTATTAGATCGAAAACCGGAACTAAACCGATATATTTTTTTAGTTTTGAACCAAAACGGAAAAAATTTCGGTTCGAAACCCTGCTTTTAACCAATTAAACAGACTAGTGATATTGATTTAGTCCCTTAGCAAGATCACAATAGCAACATGTTCAGTATAGTCCTCCCTTCTATATGCAACCGTTAATCCCTTTCTTCGAATTATTTATATATCGAAACCCATTGTAATGGGGCCATCATCATTGAAGTTTAATAAAATATTGAGCTAATAGCTCTCTACACAGATGCACTTTCGTCTTCAAGTCCGCGGTTGCATAGTAACAAAGTTGTGAACCGTACTTTAACAGTGATAGCAGTTTATTTTTATAAAATGCCGGTAAATCTTTCTATCAGCCTATGGCATATAGGATCGCTTATGGACATAGAACTCTGATGTGAGGGTAGTAATGGGGACTGGTATTGTATTTCCAACTATTTGAACTTCAATACACACTACTAGTAAAGTAATAACAGATAGCCATTCAATTTTTTAGTTTCTTGGACTAAGACATCATATGAATTTATTACACTTTGAACGAAGTCCAACATATACATATATATGTATTATAATATATTATACTTATTCGTTTAATTTTTAAATCTTTAAATTTTTTATCATTTTTACGATTAACGTTTAAATGATTACTGTGAAAAGTGTATTGTTTAATTTTAGTTTAAATAAATTGTGTTAATATTTAAATATTGTGTTTTAAAAAAGCAAAACATAAAAATCAACAAAGCTTAATTGTATTAATATTAGATATTTTTATTTTGTGTAAAATGCTATTTAAAAATTATTATTTAGCATTTATATTTTCACTGCAAATATAAATAATACTGAATTGACGTATTTTCACCTAAACATTAATTTCATCTATTAATTTTATTAATATTAGATATTTTTATTTTGTATAAAATGCTATTTAAAAATTTATTTAGCATTTATATTTACATAGCAAATATAAACAATACTGAATTGACGTACTTTCAACTAAATAAGTTGGATATACCAAACCTTTGGCTTTCTTAAATTAAGCAATAACTTCATTTAAGTAAATGTAATTAAGTTAATTAAATATAAATGTTAATTAATTTATGTGCAGCATGGCTTAATAACTGCGTCGGTTATAGTAATCATCGATACTTCTTCCTTTACATGGCCTATACTACGATTGGGTGTTTATTCCTAATCGTATTTGGTTTTGAAATAGGCTATAACTATTTATGGTTAGAACATGGTGACAATTGGATAGAAACAGAACCGCTAATAGGGCAACCTGTTAAATTTAATTTAAGTGGACATATTATTCCGGTGGTAAGTGATCATATAAATATTGTATATGAAAAATCTTAAGTAATAGTTCCTTTTTTTATATTTAACTTTTTTATAGACGCATGGTAATGAATATGATGATGAAATATTATTACCAGCTGAACATAATTTGCCAACACCAACATTTAATGAATTATCCGTAACACCAGAGAAACGTCGTGCTTTAATGTTTATGGCATTTGTTAATGTGGCTGTAGTTTTGGCTTTGGGTACACTCTGCATTTGGCATGCGAGGCTGATCACACGTGGCGAAACTAGCATAGAGGCAAATATTAATGATTCAGAACGTAAACGCTTATCAGGTCATAATAGATGTTATGTTAATCCATATGACTTCGGTCCGAAAAAGAATTGGAAAATGTTTCTTGGTTTAGTTAGAGGACGGTAAGTTTTAGAAATGCTTGTTAAAGAAATGATATCAAGATTTGTACTTTTTAGAACCTTTTGGCGTACTGTTATATTACCATCCTGGCATAAGCCAGAAGGCAATGGTTTAAGTTTCTATACCGTACACGATGAATGGCCATAACAATTAATATCAGTATAGTGTCAAAGCACTATACGAGCATAAAACCGCAAAGTGGCATTGTATTGTATTGAATTTAATTTAAAATATTTAGTAAAATTAGCTTATAACTTCATTCCTTAATTTATGAATTCATTATGACCATAAAGACTTTTTTTGTGATTAAAATTTTTAATAAAGTTGAATTTTATTTATAAACAAACATTAAATTTTTTTTGTTATGATATTTTTTTTTTACATGTAAATGTAAATTATTATTTATTATTAATGATTATTTTGTATATATGGAAATACATTTTTTTTGTTTCTAAAAAATAATCTAATTTTATAATTTTTTAAATTTAATACAACTGCTACTAATTAATCATATATAACATATCCAAACTCCATATAAAATCATATAAAATATCCAAACTCCAAATTACAACAATGAAATTTAAGTGTTGTTATTGTAGCCTGCCGGGATCTGAAGAGCAGGTAACAATTAAGGATTACAAGACAAATATATGGGTAGGGGGGTGGGGTTAGAATTAAGGGAATAGTAGGAAGGAGGAAAGGATATAATTGAAATCAACCAGGGTCCAGCCGTAGAAACCTAGCTACCTCAAGGAGATGAGTCCTTAAGTCCTTCATTGGACTTGAATTAGTGTGTGCAGTGGGACAAGAGAACAGATGGGCGACGTCATGGGGGTAGAGCTGCAGCTTGGGCATAAATTAGAAATGCACATGTTTATACGTGACAAGTAACTGTTTAGCAAATGGCTATATCCTAATCTCAATTGAGCTAGGAAAATTCTTGTTGCACGGGGGAGACGACGTTCTTCTAGAAGATATTAGGCGGAGTCCTGTTGAGAACCTTGTTGGGAGTCAGTCTAGGTCTCGACGAAGGGACTGCATCAGTGTGGAGTGATATGAGTTCACGTTTGTATTCGACCTCACTGATGTTAGCTTCATTGTAATATTGGTCGATCAATTTAAGTGTTAGGTTAGCGCAGTGTATTAACATACAAATTTAGGTTCTATATTTGAGAAGGTTCGAAGACTGGCACTTGCAGTTTAAAATTATATAGCGAAGGACAAATAAACATTTCTAAAGACTACTTATAATAGATATATAGTAACATTCATAATAGAAATAACCATAAATCAGTCAAAAAATTTGTCTTAGACTTAAAATCAATTTTTGTATTTAAAATTCATTTACTCCTTATATCTTTTATGAATGAGAAAAGCGGTCTCATTCGTATAAGGTCGCGTGTCATGGAACACACAATTTTTTTTTATTATTTAAATTATAATTTTATTTCAAAATATTCATAATTAATATAACAACAATGTATCTTTTATGCAGTTATGAAAATATTTGCATTCATCAAACAATTTTATGCTAAACAATTTGTTTTAATATAAAATTAAACATTTTTTTTGTTGCTGAAATGAACCATGCTACGAACATAGATATTCTTCAGAAGATTTTATTAAGCCTTGATCTGAAATACGTATGGTACTGTCCAGTTTTTCTAAATGTCAAAAGTAATAAATCTGTTATACACATAAACTTGCATAAAGTTTTTAATGAATCGCAATTATAGTGCAATGATGGCTGAGATAATGTCTAATAGTAAAAACGTGCTTGTGTGAAACTCCAAGAATTAGCCACGTATTAGTGATTAACAGATGTCCGATGAGATTGACTTTAAAAATGTTATGATATTTAAAGTTGCTGAAGATAGTTTGCAGCATAAGTAATTTTAGATTATTTGTGGTATTAATTTCCATAGGCTAACTTGTTACTTAATGCGAGAATCAATACCAGAAAATTTCATTTCATACAGATCTTTATATATTCTTCTATGCATGAATAATTTTTCAGTTATTTGGTTTTAAAAAA